CGGGTAGAGGGGCAGTGCCTGCAGGTGGTACTGCGTGGCCTTCCTCCTCCCCAGCTCTGCCCAGGCACCTCCGTGCCGAGCTGCTGCCTGAGCCCGGCAGAGCCAGCACGGCCTGTGCCCACCTCTGCAGGAGAGGACTTGGCGACCATCTCAGAAATCATTTCCCCTGCCCCCCCACAGCGGCAGTCTGGGTGTCGAGCCCGTTCCTGTGCCACGCTCCATCTGTCACTGACCAGAGGCCTTCACCAGAGGACAGATAAGAGTATGCCACTGGCCAAGGGCCAGTGTTCTGCACTTCCCGTTAGGAATTCCCAGCAGCTCACGGACACTGGAGTCACCAGCAACACACACAGAGGAAGAGCCAAGTGCCAGGCGGTGGTTCAACTGCTCGGCATTAGGCACACCCAGGAGGGGCGTCACTGCACACGCCCGTGGGATGCCTAGGGGAGCCTCTGGACTAAAGAGGGCCCTGGGCAGTCCTTGGCACCAGCAAGGGACAAGTTTGAGTGAAGGAAAAATCTGGGGGAGGGGATTCTTACTTCGTAGATTTCTGTTACCTCAGACAGAGGGACCGGCTCGCTGAAGATGTTGCCCGTATCTTTCTCCCGCAGCTGCTCAAGCGTCTGGCGGAGGAGGATGAGGAAGGGGGTCAGCTGCATCTCCAGAGCCACCTGCTGCACTTTGATCTGAAAGGGAGGAAGGCAGTGGGGCTGAGCCTCCTGCCCAGCAGCCAGGACAGTCCCAGGAGGCAGCGGTGCTGACACCTCTCCTCGCACGAGGGGCCAGGGCCACACGTCACCCCTTGTCTCTGGGGAGCGGGGGCGTAGCACAGGCTGCAGCACCCGTGCGTCCCCCTCAGCCTCGCAGAGCACCCCCTTTGCTCAGAGCTGCCGGGGCAGGGCACGGCGTGGCTGAGGGACCTGACACGTGGCTGAGGGACCCGGCGCATGCCCTGTGGTGCTCAGAAGAGTCCACGCTCATGCCAGCCCCAGCAGCTCCCCAGGGAGGGGCCAACAATCGTTACCGTCTCTCTCTTGAGCTTCTCCCGCTTGCGTATCAGCTCCACCAGCAAGCGTGCACGCTCTAGGTCATGGCGGAGGCGCTGCCATGACTTCAGCTGCTCCTTCAGGGCCCAGTTCTTATCCTCAGTGTCTCTCTGTGGGAACATCAGAGACCGTGAGCCGACAGGAGATGTGTTCCCATCTCCACCTCCCTGACTGCGTGCTGGGGGCTCTTCCCTGGCAAAGGGAACCGGTACTTCTGACCTGCTGCTTCAGCAAAGGTCCCGGTTCCCTTGGGGGTCTCAGTCTGACCTCTGGCCAGAGCTGAGTACCTGCTCCTTGGTCACCAAGCCCTCAGGACGGACATCCCAGGCCTCTGGAAATCTCCCTTCCTAACACAACTGACTGCCTGCAGCTGCCCGAGAGCACGCATCAACAATACCACAGTCTGTGCTGCTGCTCAGAGCTCTGGCAAAGGGCAACAGGGCAGAAAGGGAACTGGCTGTGGTTGCTTTCACTTCTGGAGCACCAAAAAATGCCAACTTTTATTTTGCTGTAGCCAAAGATGAGCATAAGCAGTCTCAACTTTTCTCCAGCAAATAAAAACAAGAAGGGACAAAGGCAAGAGAAACTCCTGCCCTGTCAGTCCTCACAGGCCTCAGAAAGAAAGACTGAGAGCTCAGATGGGGAGCCAGAAGAAAAACCTTCCTCTGGCACCAGAGATTTCACATCTGTGGAGTGTTGACTAAGGGCTGAGGCAGACAGTGGGCTGGAAGCAGCACCGACAGGGAGTGCTCCTGGAGCAGTTTCAGGAACTGGAAGCAAGGCTTTGTTTCCTTCCAGACTGTTTCTGGAGATCTCCAGCCACCCCTCTCAACACTTGCTGACACAGCAGCCCC